GACCATCCCCCCTGGGGGGTGATTTCTCGCTTTCTGTCTCTATGTCTCTCTCTGTCTGTCTGGCGAGCACACGCGCCCTACAGTGAAAATCTCTCCAAAAAAAAAAAAAGAGAAACCATGATTCTGGGTGTTTATGTGACATTTCCCATTTCTTAAAATACCATGAAATGAAAGGAAACATGTATGTTCAAATGAAACATGTATGTCCAAGCTGCCTGTGATCTGTTACATCTTGATCCTGCTTTATATTCTTCAGAGTAGACCAATTTTTCTTATTAAAATGCGGTTAAGTTCATCACTGGTCAAGACAGAAATCATATCTAATTATGTTTCAAATCCCAACGTGAAGGCTGATACAGGTATAGAATAAGCATGTAACAGGGAGATTTTGGTCCAGTATTTTGTGGGCAGGACGTGCTTTTTATCTGGGGCCCTTCTACCTTTCCTCCTTTAAAGTGTGCTCTTATGGCTCATTCTTAATCACTGACCACTTGGCTTCTCCACCTGCAGATCATCTTTGCAGACGAATGCACAGAGGCTGAGGGGCGGCACTGGCACATGAAACACTTTTGCTGCTTCGAGTGTGAGACAGTGCTCGGCGGCCAGCGCTACATCATGAAGGAGGGCCGGCCCTACTGTTGTCACTGCTTCGAGTCCCTATACGCGGAATATTGTGACACCTGTGCCCAGCATATAGGTGAGGCGATGCTTGGCATGCAGCTCAATCCTTCTGTGACTGGGCCTCCTTCGTATCTGGTGTAGCTAAAATTTCTTTGGATGCAGGTGATAGCATCCAAAGATGCTTGTACTAGCTTGAGTGAAAAAGAACATTTCTTGGCTCACATTACTAGAAAAACCAAGGAGTAAACTTCAGGTAGGGATGAATCAAAGATTCGAACACATTTCCTCTGTGTCTCAGTTTGGTTCGCCTCCTGTTGACATTACTTGAGAGCAAGCTATCTTTGCATAATGGCTAAGGTCACCCTCCTAATTATACATTAAGTACCTGCATTCTTATTACTTACATTCTCAAAGAGAGAAGGATCCTGTCCCTCCATTTTTGTTGCTGTTGTTGTTTTTAATTGCCAGAGGATACTTGCACTTGCCAAAGAGAGAGAGAGGGAAAGACAGAAAGAGAGAGAGAAAGCACGCCTCCCCTCCTTCCCCCCAGTGGGGCATGGTCAGGTTGCAATCTCTTCTCTTCCACTTCTCCATCCTGTCAGGATTTTGGCCATGCACACACACCCCTCCTGTGTGTTTTTCAAGCTGCTGGGGCTGGGATTCAAACAGTGGTTAACCATGTGGGATCCAGCTCTCTTAATTACTAGGCTTCAGGACTGGCCAAAGGGGTCCTATTTCTTATAGTATCCAAGTCACTTACTCCAGATAAAAAAATTGTATTGGTTCTCCTTTGATCACAGGCCTACCTTGTAGGTGGGGTACTGAGATATACAACCCCCTATCAAGAATGAGGGAGGTCTCAAAAGGAAAATATGATGGGAGAATATAAACAGATGGCTGCCACAGATTCCTTGGAAAAAAAATCAGAGATCAGCAAAGAGAAGAAGCAAAGTGGTCTTCCTGCTAGGGAGGTATAGTCAAGGAAGCCAAGTAAGTGGCTTCTAGCAAGCATGTCTGGAAAAAAAAAAAAAATCAGCAAGGGCTCCTCACTAAGTGCAAAACAAGAGAACCTCAGATGACTCATATGCTACAAACTCCCCAAATAAGCAGCAGATCTGAGATGGCGAATATCACTTTACCTTGACAAATAACCAATTTGTTCAACCCTTTGTCGCCATTCCAGATCATACTGCATTGTGGTTTCTTCATTCGCCTTGCCTTTTTTTGGCACCTTGAGAATGAGACACTTACAATATAAACACAAGTTGGCAGTGGACGAATATCTGTGAGGCCATGGCCAGATCATCCTGTGGCTTGTGCAATTCCAAGGAGTATGTTTAGAAGCTGCCAACTTCTTACCAACAGTGAGGAGTTGGGGAGATAATATTTGAGAGCCTATTTTAAAGCCCTACTTAAAAGGTTTCATCAGGACCAAAATTATTGTCTCCCTGGTTCATCAGAAGCGATGTGTGCAAATGAAAAATTAGCTAGTATCTGGAAAGCTCTGTATGCAGATAAAAATCCCAGTATTGTGGACAAGACACCTACTGTGTGCACACCTACTGTGTGCTCAGCAGTTCCTTGTCATTGGGCATTCCTATCCTACCGACTTGACCTGCTTCATGAGGTCTTTCCACGCTGGAGTTTGCCAGCCCTGGAAGAAACACTTTGCCCAGCTACAGTCCCTGGTGGCAGCTTGGGTGCCGGCAAGTCCCCTTCCCCCTGGCCCTCAGTGCCTCACTCTCTCACAGCCTGCTGCCTCACTTAAGTACCCAGGAATCTTCACTTTTCACAATGACAAACAATCATATAGGCATATTCTCTTTTGTGCAAATAAATAGGAAATGGGAAGCTCAAATGTGACAGGTGGTACTTGAGGAAGGGAGGGAGAGGGACAGTATCGGGGAAGGTGGTGCAACCCTGTGTTTCAAGTCTGGGGCTTTGAGATTTGAGTCTGCAAGGCAGTGCTCGCTCAGATGAGAGGGGCTGCACATACAGAGGCCTAACCCACAGTGTCCACAGACGGTTCCAGCTTACCATGGTTTGGTTCACGCATTTTTGACTTTACAATGGGTTTATTAAGATGTGACCCACCGTAAGTTGAGGAGTATTTGTACCTCTTTCCATTAGTATTTCTGCTTCTTTTGTCTATTACTATGGAGGCTATAAGTTTCCCCAGAAACTGCCACTTGGAATTTTTGCTCAGTTCTTGGGGGAGAAAATCTTGTCTGTAGACCATGTGCATCTGAGACGGCCCCTCAGTTTTCTTCCATTTCTCTTCTTTTGGCTATCTAGGACTGCTGTTGGCTTTCTCTCTCCTCTCTTCTGAAATAAACAAAAAGGCGCCAGGATTTATTCTCCCTGGTAAAATACTAGGAAAGGGGACTGCTATGGCCTCCACTATCACTGTTGCAGTCTCTGCCGTGTTTTGTTTGTTTGTTTATATTTGTTCCTTTTGTCTATACTGCGCTTTTTGTAAAACGTAATTTTCCTGCGCCATCGGAAGGGTGTGCTGTATGTCATGCATACCTCAATCACCGCGTGCTTTACCTCTGACCATACTGTACAAATATTCCATATTTATACAGCCGCTCAGAGCAGACCCTGCATCAGGCCGCTGTTGCCAGGGCAACGGGACTTTTGCCTGCGCACAGCAGAGTCAACAGTCCTATAAACAGACCGAGGCTGTGGCAGCAGCAGACACATACACCCTCAGAGAAGTACTTAAAGGGCTTAGAGAGGGAATAAAACAGGAACGCTTAGATGTCGAGCGGCAGAGCCCTTTTCCAGATGTTCAGAGTTCAGGAGCAGTTCAGGGGACCATCTGACATCGTTGATGTTTATCAGGAACCACGTTCTGCTGCCTGCTGGGCCGCTTTATTACACAGCTGCCCTCCTGCCCCTCGCACCCATCCTTCTGTGAGGCCCCCGTCCCCGGGAACTAGGCCCTTGCTGCAACCTCTGAGCTTGCCTCCTTGCAGAGACCTGGAGAAGCAGGTGGAGGACAGGCTGTGGGACTGGACTTACTGTGTGCCTCTTGGGGCACCATGTGAGTAGGAGCTCACAATACAGACCTGGGGAGCTGGGAGGCTGCACAGTTCTCTGGACTCTTGGCACATGAGAGAGAGAGAGTGGAGAGTAGGACAGGGAACGTGGGACAGGAGAAAAGGCTCAGTGGTTCCCTGGTTCTTTTTGGACTGCCTCTAGGCAGCGACCCTCAGCAGAGAGGAAGACAGGTTTTCAGAATAATAAAAGAACAACTGCATAGTAACCCAGTTAGTCCTCACAACTAACCTATGAAGTAACACTATCTTGTGGCCACAGTACTGCCGAGGGTACCCAGGTACAGAGAGAGAAAGCTATTTCCCTAAGGCCACACAGCTAGAAAGCAATAGAGCCAAGACTTACACCAAAGTAGAGGGACTTCACCTTTACAGCCAGTTGGAGTGGCTAGAGCTGGGATGTGAACCTGTGTCCTACTGAGTCCTGAAGCCTCCCTCTTAACTACAATACAATAAGTGCATCTCGGTGCTGTCTGCACCTGCTTCCTCCCAGGGGTCTGAGGAGGAAGTTGTCTGTTTTTAGCTCCACCCATCTGGGTCTCCCTCACTCCACCTGGAACCAAGCCTAGTGCTGAAAGGGAATGTAGTTGATTTACACGGTGTCCCTCTCACTTGGGGTGACCCTGGTGGCTGCCCCTGTCTCTGTAAAAATCCCCTCGTAATCCCCACAGCCAGGTTCCAAAATGAAGAAAGAACCCCTTGGTTTGGGAAGGAGCTAATAAGAGAAGGATGTGCCTTGCGCCTCTTTCTTCCTGGGCTACAGTGACATTAAAAAACGGGGGCGGGAGGTGAGGTGAGCAGGAAGTGAGTCAGCCTGACTCTGGCCTTCCGTTTATGCAGTTCTCTTTTTCTCCCCCATTTCTCGCTCAGCGCCTCTGCTGGCATGTCTCTAGACGTTCTTCCTTGGGAGGCCAGGCCCAGGAACTCACAGGCAGGAAAGGTGAAGTTCACACAAAGACCACCTTTTCTGGAAAGACTTTTACTGTCAAGCTCTGGGAATCTTACAGTGGTCTTTTAAGCTGTCCTACAGGTATTCTTGGGACTGCATTCTCAGCAGGCTCTCTCCATGGGAGGGAGCCCCAACAGCCCTAGGGTTTATTCTGCCAGTTTAGCAACTGCTCAGTCATTGTCTTAGCAAAAGACCCAGGTCATCTTGCTTTGGCCCAGTGGCTAGCCCTACCCAGAGCTCATGGCCTGAGAATGGCAGGGAGATGGTGTCCCATAGGGAGATTGACCTGAAGGGGACAGAAGCAAGAACCTAAGCAAGCCGTGGGCACCTCCCCTAAGGCACAGTGTGACATGTTTATGTAAACTAGCCATAGTCCTGTTCTGCCTTTCCTGGTGGAATTAAGCAGAGGGTACTCCTAGAGAGGCAGAGTCCTTGACAAGTCACCTCCAGGTTTTTCTTTACCAAGAACAAGTTTTTTCTTACCAGGTGTTGAAATCGACTTCTTTTTTCCCCATTGTCTTAATCTGCTCAGACTGCTGTGGCGAAATACCACAGCTTGGGTGGCTTATAAACAACAGAAACTTATTTCTCCCAGTTCTCTAAACTGGAAGTTAAGATCAAAGTATGTTTGGTAGATTCGGTGTCTGGCGAGGATCCATTTCCTGCGTCTTAGACGGTGCCTTCTTGTCGTGTCCTCACCTGACAGAAGCAGCAGACAAGCTTCCTTGGGCCTCTATGATAAGGGCACTAACCCCATTCCTGAGGGGTCCACCCTCACGACCTATTCAGCTCCTGAAAGGCCCCATGTCCTTATGCCAGCACCTTGGGATTTAGGATTTTAACCTAGGGATTTAGGGAACACACAAACATCTGGACCATAGCACACCTCAGGCTGTGGCTGTGACCTGCCCATTGGTATGGCATGCACTGTGCTAGGACTCAGTTACTTCACCCATTCAGTCTGTGAAGAGCCCTTACCACACACTGGCCACATTCCAGGTCCTGGAGATGTCACAGAAATTTAATGGCTCTGTCCTCATAGAGCTTCGCTTTCAGCAGGGTAGACAAATAATAAACAGATGCACACATGCGTTGCATACATGTGCAGTGTAAAGCAGTATTAGTGCCATGAAGAAGACCACAGCAGCTAGGGATGGATGGTGGTGGTGAGCCACTCGTAGGGTGGAAAGGAAGCCAACTCTAGGGAGTCAGCTTTTGTGCTAACACTCAATTAGATAGGAGACAGTATCAATGTCAAGGTCAACAGCAAGGCTTCTTGGCTATAGATCTTCATCTCTGATTCCTAGTTTTAGTACTTGTGATAAGCTACTTAACCTCACGTGCCTTGATTCACACATCTGAAAAATGGATGTAATGTTAGAACTCTCCTTCAAACGCTTGAGGGATTAAATGAATTGCCATTATGTAGCTCTCTTGGAAATTTATCATATTTCGTGTTCTTATTGCTACTTATCTAAGGAATCCGTCTGAGGCAGAATTATTCATGGGCAGGCCATTTTGCCCTAGCTTCTCGGTGCTGGGAGCAAATGAGTTAAGGAGCTTACTGGTAGAGCAGGGGGTTCTTATAACAGAATGTGACTACTGTCTACGTGGGAGCCTGATCATGGTTTGGTATTTTATTCTGCCCCATCTGAAATCCTGAGCCAAACTAAGGTGCTGTGCATTTAATGTCATGTTGTGGGGCTCTTACAACTTGTCAGCCTCTTCTGTGTTTCTTATTTCCTTAGGAATTGATCAAGGTCAAATGACCTATGATGGCCAACACTGGCACGCCACCGAGACCTGTTTCTGCTGTGCTCATTGCAAGAAATCCCTCCTGGGGCGGCCATTTCTCCCAAAGCAAGGCCAGATATTCTGCTCACGGGCCTGCAGTGCTGGGGAGGATCCCAATGGCTCGGACTCGTCTGATTCAGCCTTCCAGAATGCCAGGGCCAAGGAGTCACGGCGCAGTGCCAAAATCGGCAAGAACAAGGGTAAGACAGAGGAACCCATGCTGAACCAGCACAGCCAGCTGCAGGTGAGCTCCAACCGGCTGTCAGCCGACGTGGACCCCCTGTCACTGCAGATGGACCTGCTCAGCCTGTCCAGCCAGACACCCAGCCTCAACCGAGACCCCATCTGGAGGAGCCGGGATGAGCCCTACCATTATGGGAACAAGATGGAGCAGAACCAGGCCCAGAGCCCCTTGCAGCTCCTCAGCCAGTGCAACATCAGAACTTCCTACAGTCCGGGAGGCCAGGGGGCTGGGGCCCAGCCTGACATGTGGGCCAAGCACTTCAGCAACCCCAAAAGGAGCTCCTCCCTGGCCATGAAGGGGCACAGCGGCAGCTTCATGAAGGAAGGCCGCGAGGACTAATGCCGAGAGGACTACTACCCGGGGAGGCTGAGATCCCAGGAGAGCTATAGCGATATGTCCAGTCAGAGCTTCAGTGAAACCCGAGGCAGCATCCAAGTCCCCAAGTATGAGGAAGAGGAGGAGGAAGAGGAAGGGGGCATGTCTGCCCAGCAGTGTCGAACCCGTCATCCCATCAGTTCCCTAAAATACACAGAGGACATGACGCCCACAGAGCAGACCCCACGGGGCTCCATGGAATCGCTGGCCCTGTCCAATGCAACAGGTAGGTTCTGCCTTTGGGGTCATTTCTTGGGGACCTGATGCTGGTCTGAAATGTGAATCCACATTTTGGGTTGCTTTTGCCTTTGATGGGATCCCTGTAAGCAAAACCTGAGAACGGTTTGGATGTCTGTGGTGTGTAGAGAGAATACTCCGAAAGAAGCTGGTTTGGGTGCTCAGAAGACACAGATGTTACCTAAGATGGTGCTACTTGAAGCGGAGTCAGATTTGGGCTGTCCACTCTTAGCTGTCTGCTGTAAAATAGGTACTGAAATCGGGAATTTAGAAACGCTTCGAGCGGTTGAGCACTGCTGTGACATCTACAGATGTGTTCGGAGGGCTCACTTTATTGATCAGGGTGTAGACGAGGCAGGATGCTGTAGAACTCACATGGTGAGTCACTTATGGTGTGCGCTGTGTGTCAGTCACGCTCGGCAGGGCTGCAACAGAGTGGAAAGAAAAACAAACTCAATCTAGGACAAGCCCCATAGCCTAGTGGTTAAGGGAAGCCAGATCCCACATGGCTGATTTCAGTTTGAATCCCAGCCCCGTCAGCTTAAAAACCAAACTGGTCATGTGTGTTTACGTGCTCAAAAATCTCAAAGGATGGAGAAATGGAGAAAACGGAGAAGGAATTGAGGCATGACCACACCCCCTTGGGAGGTGCCTTCTCTCACTGTTTCTGTCTCTCTGTTCCTGTCTCTGGTGCATACACATGCCCTCTGGCCACAAAAACAAAACAAAACAAAAACAAACAAACAAAAAACAGAAAATGGGTCCTTCACCACTGACAGCTTGAGAAGTAGTAAACCTGCCCGTTTATGGGCAAGGTACCGGGAGGAAGACACACGTCTATCCCTGCAGCAGGGATGCCATCATCCAGGGAGTCTGGATGGAGGCTGAGACAGACTTGTGCATGCCAGCCCCACCTGAACGGGCAGCCACTGCTCAGCTCCGGGTACCTATTGCCACGTGTGGGGATGTTTTTTTATTCAGCTAACATTTACATAGCTCTTACTGTAAGCTCTTTATCAATATTAGCTTACTTAATTACATCGCCACACCACTGTGAGGGAGGTCCACTTTTATAATTCTCATGTCACAGTTGCAGAGACTGAGAAACAGGTTACAGGACTCCCCCACAGTCACCCAGCTTTTATATGGTGGAGCAGGGATTCGAACCTATGCCTGTGACTCCAGAACCATGCTCTTAAAACCCCAGAAAGCCCACCTAACATGAACCCCCATTCCTTCCAGTTTTTCCAGGGAACTAAAAATGTGGACTCTTAAACGTGAACCCCATTTAAACTCTGCTAGACACACTGCGCCTCCAAATTGGAGGATGGCTGCCTATGCAATGCATTTTACCTTTTATCCCCCCTCAACTGCTTTCACATCTGTGCCCCCATTGTCCCGGAGGAGAAAAAGCAGATATCCTTCTCCTCATGATAAAAGAGAGAGAGAGAGAATTAGGTCTTGGTGACTAAGCACCTTCCCTGACGTTGTAGAAGTGAGCAATTAGTGCAGAGTGATGACTGTCTGGCTTCTAGCCCGGGTTGTGCTATTCTCGAAAGATTTATGTGCTATAATTATTTAAGAGGCCAGCAGACAAATACGTAATTCAGCCTCTGAAGCAGAGTTTCTCAAAGCTAGACCACCTGAGTTAGAATCATAGGGGTGCTTGAGTACACCGTGGATTCCCGCCCACCCCTCGTTCCTGCATTAGAACTCTGCAGAAGTGACCTAGGCATCTGTACTTCCACCAGCCCCCTGCTGCCGGGCACCATTGTCAGAACAGATGGCCCTGGGTATGTCTGTTCTCACTGTATTGTTCTCGAGTTGTGCCTTACAAAGGAAGAAATGAAGGGGGCCAGAGTTGGGGAATGTTGGAAAAACCAAGTGAAGACCAGTGTCTACTCCTGAGAGATTGTGGGAGATGGAGTCTCATGATGACCTGTGATTCCTTGGGCAAAGCAATTAACACCTCTTATCCTCAATTTTGGAAAGCAGTCCTGTCTGACAAAACTTACGAAGAAAATCCCTGAGTTTAGTGTTGTCCAGCGTGGCAGCCACTAGCCACACGTAGCTAATATAATTTAAGTTAATTCAAATAAAATGAAAATTTCAGGCCATCAGTTGTACTAGACACACACACACACACACACACACACACACATACACACATAATTAATTAATTATTTATATTAGTTATATTTTAAGTGCTCAAAGTAATAGATGGAAGTTTAAATTTCATTTCATTTTTTAAAGTTTTTTTTAAAGTTTATTGACTTACTTTTTCCATGAGAGAAGAGGGGGGAGAGAAAGATTGCAGTCTTCATGTCGTAGCCCACCCCCCGCTTCCGCCAGCCAGCGTGTACAGGGAGACCTCGCCTCACCAACTCAGGACCTTCGCACACAGTCTCTGCATCACAGAGCGCTCTGTTATCACTGTGCTTCCATGGCTGGCCTGAATTTTATTTCATTTTAATTCACTTCATTTCCAGTAGCCACATGTGCCTAGTGGTGACCTTGTGGGACAAGTGCAGATGGCAGACTGACCTGATAGGTGGACAGACATGAAGCCCATCACTGGTCTCGTTTGAAGGTCTCACGTAAGCCCCGACTTACCGCATTCTTACATGGGAGTGCTGGGTGGCAGTGCTGATTCTAGAGCCACACGCCGTATTTCAAACCCAGCCGTCATCACTTAGGAGTTGTGTGTCCTTGAATAAGTCGCTTAAATTTTGTAAGACTCAATTTCCTCATCTTTGGAGTGTGGTTAATCATAGTACTGCTTTTGTAAGTTTTTTCATAAGAATTAAGTAGTAAATGTATTTGTAATTATTAACTTAGTCTTACACATATTATCTTCTGTAATTGTCACCAGATACTATATATTTTTTTTTTTTGGAGAGGTTTTTGCTATAAGGTGCGTGCGCTCACCAGACAGAGAGAGACAGAGAGATAGAAAGTGAGAAATCACCCCCCAGAGGGGATGGCCACGCTGCAATCCCTTCTCCTCCATTCTCCTCTCAGGATCTTGGGCACGCACGCACATGCGCCTGGCGTGAGTTTAAGTCACTGGGTCCGGGACTCGAACCGCATTCGACTACGTGGGAGTCCAGCGACATAGCCATTTCGCTAACTGCTGGTCCCACCAGATACTATTTTTTAAAGAATTATTTTATATAACACTATTTATGCATTTATTTATCTATTTTAATTTGACCACAGAATAATAGAGTGAGAGAAAGTGAGAAAGTAAGCCACCAGGTCCAGGACTCGAACGACAGTCAGCCATGTGGGTGTCCAGCACCCTTAACCACCACGCCACCTGCTGGCCCCACCAAATACTATTTTTAAAAGAATTTATTTTTTATTGGATTTTATTTATTTATTTATTTTTTTAATTGGACAAGAGAGGGAGAAAGCAAGCTTCTGAGTCCAGGATTCTAGCCATGGTCTGCCATGTGGGAGTCCAGTGGCTTAACTACCATGCCACCTGCTGGCCCCTTGATGCTTTTATTAGTATACTTATTTCTCTCTCTTTCTCTTTAAATTTGCCAGAGGGTGTATGCACTCGCTGTAGAAACATGGGGAGAGAGAAAGCATCCCCATGGGGAATGCCACAATCCCTTCTCCTCCTCCTCCAGTTCTCCTTTTGGGATTTTGGGAGTGCACATACACACACTTGGCCTATTTTTGAGGCCTCCAGGACTAGGACTTGAACTGCACAGTCAGCCATGTGGAATCCAGCCACCTTAACCACCATGCTACTGGCTGACCCAATCTTATTATTTATTTCTCCTCTCGAACACACTGATCCATAGTTTTGGCCTCTGAGCATGTTTTGGCCACTGACTTCTCCCAGTCTCCATCATCTGTGCAGGTTTGCATTTTAATGGCTTGCAAATACTCTTGTGGGTTCCTCCTTTTCCTGGTCAACATTAAAGAACATAAGAAACAGGAATTAAAAACTCAGTAGTATGATCTTTTGTCTCCTTGGTCCTGTCAGACCACTGTGGAATGAAGATTGTGGCTGGTCTCTAAGGACAGCTTCATCATCCCTCACTGGTGCAGATTCTAAATAGCCTCCCACATCTTGTAGCGCTCACATATACAACACTACAAGGATGGAGAATGCTGGCTTTTTGCTGCAGACCCTCGCTGCTGCATTTGAATTTGGCTGGGAATTTCAGTAGTCTTTTAAGACAGCAGCATTCTGAACTGTCTGTATATCTTTACATCCTAAAATCATAGACTATAAGAAAACAGAAGGCTTACTCAAAGCGCCTTCCTTTGACCCTTCAGCTAAAGCTAAATTGCAGGACAATAGATTCCCTTCCATGGTCAGTAACTTATATTACTGAATAAGTCTGTTGGGTTTAATCTAGAACGAAGCACAATCTTTTTGTAGGCAGCACTATTCCTTGGAACAGATTTGGAAAAACAGATTGCTCCAGTGACTTGCTAGCCTCAGATCTGGGCTGTGGCACCTCCCAGTTTGCCTGGAGCTGGGAGCGTACAGTCCTTTCTCCTTGGAAAACACAGCCCGTCCCTTATGCTCACACAGAGTGAGTCAGGCAGGCACATTTGCACCGTCACAGTGTGGGAGCATTGCAGAAGCTCTTTCACCCTGCTGTTCCCTAAACATGCCTCGACAGCAGCTTGCAGCCGGGATAATCATCATGTTAGAATAGTAATAATGACAACATCAAGGACAGCCCACGTTATCGAGTGGATAACATGTTCTAGATATGATTCTGAGCACTTTACGTGAACAATTTTAAGTCCCCACAACATCTCTATAAGGCAGATTCAGTTGGTACTCCCATTTTACAGATAATGTAAGTGAGACACACAGGATGAGTAACCCCAGGCCGCACTGCTTAGAGGTGGAGGGGCGGGATTGAAACTTGGGCATTCTGTGAGCCTGTGCCCTTAACCACCACAGCCAGTTGGGGGTGATTTCTGCTCATTCACTCACTCATTTATTGAACACGA